GGGTGGAAGGAGCGCGCGGCCGCCCCGCGGCGCCACACCCACCGGCCGCCACCCTCGGCATCCTCGCCTCGCCCTCCCGGCTCCGGGAAACCCCTGGGACTGGCCCTCCCGGGCGGCGCCCCCACCCACCCACCCCCCGCCGTGGGCCCCTTCCAGGATGGCGCCCTGCAGCCGCGGCTCGCGCACCCGAAACCTGCAGGAATCGCTGCTCTCCGGCCAGCTGCTCCGCTCACTCCGCCTGGTCCCGTTGCCCGCTGCCCGCCTCCGCCGCCACCTCACCCCCAGCGCTGCGGCCAGGGTTTCCGGACGCCCACGTGACCCGCGCGGTCCCCCGTGGCATGTTGGGAGTTGTAGTCCGACCGCGAAGGCCGGGGGACTGGGTAGGCGGGGGCTGCTTCTAGCAGCGGGCGGAGGTCTCCGTGCACCCAGCTGCTGGGAGGAGCTGGGACCGGGGATTGGGGGCGGGGCGCCGCGGGGGGCGGGGGTAGGGGGAGCAGTATATGGCCCAAGATTGTTAGGGGGAAAAAGCAGTGAAGGAGAGATAAGATATAACTTGATAGGATGTATACATCACCTTTTTTTTCAAAAAGCTTTCTCGCTCTTTGTTTTCATAGAAAGCAACGTGTTGCTAAGTGTGCTGCTAACCTGCCTCAAAGGCATAGGCTTTAGATTGTTTAAGTTCAGTTGCCCATAGTCTACCAGTATTATTAACTGTTCTATGTCGCACCCCACCTGCTCAAATAAATGAATGCCTCAAGCAAACATTAAAGGTCTTCCAACACTCAACTTTGAACAAGAGTCTCTGTCCTTCTGGGCTGCTTTCAACTACTGGAGAAATTTAATTAGGAGGAAAAACAAAAAACAAAAAACAAAAACTCCCAACCCAAAAGTCTTTCCACAAAAGTAATAGATTAGGAAACAGCTTTATTATTAAATAAGCTTTAATCCAGAATGATGCAGTTTACAGGCAATGCACTAAGACTGCAAAGACAGAAAGGAGTCACCCCTTTATATAGCCAAGCCAGAGCAACCCATTAAAAAGCATGTTCTCGTGGAAACCGGTTTGGCTCAATGGATAGAGCGTTGGCTTGGGAACTGAAGGGACCCAGGTTCGATTCCGGTCAAGGGCATGTACCTTGGTTGCGGGCATATTCCCAGTAGGGGATGTGCAGGAGGCAGCTGATCGATGACTCTCTCTCATTGATGTTTCTAGCTCTCTATCTCTCTCCCTTCCTCTCTGTACAAAATCAATAAAATATATTTTTTAAAAAAAGCATGTTCTCAAATGAGAGGACTTGACAAGGACTTGACAAGGTCACACATGCTAACTTTATCAGGGTAACTGGGGAGACAAAATCTGTGTTGGTTTATCCAGAGGAGAAACCAATTTCCACACCTTTAGGACAGGAAATAGCCTTGCAGATTGGAGCAAGGTGCCCACAGAAGTTAGGGTCTTAAGGTGACACCATTTTGGGCAGTCATCTGGTTTGCAGATGGTTTAATAAAATTATAATCCCTTAAAAAAAAAAAAAAGTTAGGCCATACCCTTACACAGAAACTGGGTGTTAGGGACACTATCTTCCTGATTGTTTGCATTTCAAAGATGGTTGCCAGGTCCTGGAGGAAACGTTCCTGAGCTGTGAGACTAGCTACAGCCTATTTAGTCATTATAAATAAACTACCGTGTTTCCCCGAAAATAAGATATCCTTCGAAAATAAGACCTGCTGACAGGTTTCCTTCTGAGTGAAATATAAGGCCCCCCGAGGCTAAACATGAGAGATTTGGTCCACTGATTCTGAAAGAAATGGAGTCATAAGAAATTCACCTGGAAATTCAGGAACTGGATTGTTATGATGATGTTCCAGAAGATGATGACATGATTGTCATTGAATAAATGAGTAAATTCTTTTTTTTTTTAATATATTTTATTGATTTTTCACAGAGAGGAAAGGAAAGGGATAGATAGCTAGAAACATCAATGAGAGAGAATCATCGATCAGCTGCCTCCTGCACATCCCCCACTGGGGATGTGCCCGCAACCAATGTACATGCCCTTGAGCGGAATCGAACCCAGGACCTTTTAGTCCGCAGACCGACGCTCTACCACTGAGCCAAACTGGTTTCAGCTAAATGAGTAAATTCTTGATACTGTAGGATTCACAGTTTGTCTGGTTTGTGTTGACAACTACCGTACTACCGTACCGTATACAGGTAATAAATTTCCTTTATTTTCACTTAACAATAAATGTGTACCGTATTCTTCTTCATGGAAAAATAAGACATCCCCTGAAAATAAGACCTAGCCCATCTTTGGGAGCAAAAATTAATATAAGACACTGTCTTATTTTCGGGGAAACAGGGTAGTAGCCCTGCACATGAATCCGAATCCGGGCGCCAGGAGCTCCCCCGCCCTCCCCTCATAGCTTGTTGCCCAGCCCCCTCACCAGCTTGTAGCTCACTGCCCCACCCTCCTGCTGGTCTGTGATCCACTAGGTTCATGGTCCATTGTTACCTAAGGCCCATTTGCATATTACATCTTTATTATATAGGATACTGGCTAGGACAGAATGATACCCTTAAAATGATAAAATGTATATATTGTGAAATACATGTGTATACTGTATATGTATATGTGTGTATATAAAGTAAGAATAGCCCTAGCTGGTTTGGATGAAGGGATGGAGCGTTGTTGGACTGCAGACTAGAAGGTCCTGGGTTCGGTTCTGGTCAGGGGCACATGCTCAGGTTGTGGGCTAAGTCCCCAGTAGGGGGCGTGCAGGAGGCAGCCAATCAATGATACTCTCTCATCATTGATGTTTCTATCTCTCCCTCTCCCTTCCTCTCTGAAATCAATAATAAATAAATAAATAAATAAGTGTATAGCCGAAATCAGTTTGTCTCAGTGGATAGAGCATCGGCCTGCAGACTGAAAGATCCCAGGTTCGATTTCTCGGTCAAGGGCATGTACCTTGATTGTGGGCACATCCCCAGTAGGAGGTGTGCAGGAGGTAGCTGATGGATGTTTCTCTCACATCGAGTTTCTAACTCTCTATCCCTCTCTCTTCCTCTCTGTAAAAAATCAATAAAATATATTTAAAAAAAAAAAAAAAAAGGAAGTCTATAACTTGGCTGGCACCACCATTCAGAAAGCCATTTCCCCATGGCCCAGGCTATGCTCTTTGCACTGATAGCCACCCTGAGGGAGAAGGTCAGAGTAGGGAGAGGCTGAGTCTCTCCTTGGCTTCCATAACCATCTGGACATTTTACCATTGGATGGTACTCTACATGTTCTCCAAGTAGTGGGTCTGAGTCCGCTGACTTTTTTTCCCTTTGCTTTTATTTAAGAGTAAGCATTACCAGGAGAAGAAAACATTTGGTGGCTCACCTCACTGACATTGACATTTAATGGGTTTTATGTCCTGCCCCCTGTCCCCTGCCCATACATTTGTGATGGGTCCCGGTCTACATTTCATTTCCCAGTCACAGACCTATGACCCTGGCTCTCTAGCCTGCTGCGGCAGCCTGTGGCAGGGTCTTGTGTTTCTCACTCTAGCTGCCAGCATTGGGGTTACCTTACTCAAAAGAGCAGTTCCCCCAAATTTATCTGTAAGTGAAATTCGGAGTAAAATAAATCATATTTTATTTATTTTTATTTTTTTTAATATATTTTATTGATTTTTTACAGAGAGGAAGATAGAGGGATAGAGAGTTAGAAACATCAATGAGAGAGAATCATCGATCAGCTGCCTCTTGCACACCCCTTACTGGGGATGTGCCGGCAACCAAGGTACATGCCCTTGACCAGAATCGAACAGGGGCCCTTCAATCCCCAGGCCAACGCTCTATCCACTGAGCCAAACCGGTTTCGGCAAAATGAATCATATTTTAAAGATCATCTGAAGGAATCATGGGGGAAAGTGTGGTTGGATATTGAATAAATTGTCCTCTGTTGCAGTGCTTCTCAATCTTTCCAGACCTCAGCCACAGGAAGAAATGCATTCTACCTCACGCACACCGCCCTCCCTCCCCCACCCCCTATCCTTTCACCCCCACCACACCCCGCCCCCACCCCGCCATATACAGGCAGGTCTGCAACTGACCCAAACAGTTCACAGAACAATCCTGAGCCCGGTTACATGAGATACATTCTGGAATTGTTTGCAAACTTTTTCTGTAAAAATGCTGGTTGCAGCCCACTAACACTGGTTTCAGGACTCCTGACTCGGCCTCTGCCCACGGTTTGAAAACAGGATACCAACTTAAATATTTTATCAGCCGGATGTCTCTGTTTTGCATATTGTGCCTCCATGGTTTAACTGCCGAATGTGACCTTCTCCATAGCGGAGAAAATCTAATGCTCTGGCCCGAGAACCAGCGACCCTTCAGACCTGGGGCTGGGCTTTCTGAGGACTTCCAGTGGGTGAGGCACAGAAGGGAGAATGCAGGGGGGAAACAGGAACATTCGCCTGGGCTTTGTCTCTTCTGCCAGCATCGGCGACGATAAACGCTGTTTCCTCAGACCCAGACACGAACCTCTGCTCTGTGGGAGAGGATTGGAGGGAGAGAAACAGATGCTTTTTTTTTTTTTTTTTTTTTTTTTTTTTTTTTTTTTTTAGCTCTTTCTCCCCGCACAAATAAATGCAAAGTTATTTTCGCTTTTTAAATCTTCTCTTTGGAACGCTTTTCTCTTCGTGGCTCCTCGAGAACAGTCATTCAAATCCACAAAACACATCCAAAAACTCAAGACCCAGCTCTGTATCCTCTCCATGGTATTCTCTCCGCTGGGGTCCCCTCCCCAGCCAAACAAGGGGCACCAGGAAAAATCGGGAGGGGAGAGAGGGAGGGGGCTGCATAAGAGAAAGCGAGCTGATCGGAGGAGCAGGGTGGCTGACTGGGTTTGGCTGAGTTGACTGGCTTTGCAGGATGATGAAAGTTCAGCCCCTGGCGGGCGCCTCACCTGCGCTGAGCGCCCAGCCGCCCGGGCTCGGGGCAGGAGGAGGGAGGGCTTCGCTCTCCTTTCACTTTCTCGGCTGCAAACCTGGCACCTGCGGACAGAACTACAGTTCCCACCGCGCAGCGAGGCAGCAGGAAGAAGGGGCCCAGGGGGCTGGAAAAGGAAAGCAAGGAGAAAAAGAAAACCTTCCCGCTAGCCAGCCGGAGGGGGAGCGCGGCAGGTGAGCCGGAGGGTGCAGGCCGCCGGGCAGGATGGAGGCGGCTCAGGTGGACGCCGCGCGGTCCTCGCAGGGCGGGCAGGCTGAGCTCCAGGGGCTTTGCGGAAAGGCTGAGGGCGTCCTGTGTGTGTGTGGGGGGGGGGGGGGGCACAGGAGGAAGGTTTCAGCTCGAGTCACAGTGATAAGACACGGAAGTGAGGTGGCTTTCTCTACTTGAAAAGTCGGAGGGGAAAACAAAGTGGTTGGATGTGTCCACTGTCGGCTGGATCGCTGAGCCACAGGTGGTTAGGGAGAAGCCTGGGGCTTCTGAAGGCGGGATGGCTGTGTGCATTTTAATTTGTGTGACAAGGTAGATTCGTCCTTTTTTTTATATAAACATATTTTATTGCTTTTTTTTTTTACAGAGAGGAAGGGAGAGGGATAGTGAGCTAGAAACATCGATGAGAGAGAGAGATACATTGACCAGCTGCTTCCTGCACACCCCCCACCGGGGATGTGCCCGCAACCAAGGCACATGCCCTTGACCGGAAACGAACCTGGGACCTCTTAGTCCTCAGACTGTAGCTCTATCCACTAAGCCAAGCCGGTTTGGGCTAGATTTGTCCTTTCCCGTGACTTTACAGAAAACCATAAAGTACACCTGGGGGCGGAGTGAAGAAGGAGCAGCTTGCAGTGCAGCACATCCATTTTGGTCATCAGATGGGGGTAGGTTTCGTGTGATTTTATGAGGAGACCCAACACCGCAGTCTGTGAGGAGCAGCTGAGGCCTCGGGATAGCTGCCTGGAGGGGATACGCTTGGCGCTCCAAATATCTGATGGGCTGGCATGTGGAATCGGAATCTGCCCAGTCACGAGGGGCAACAGATGGAAGCCTGGGAGGTGGAGTTCCACCCCAGGTGAGTGAGAGCTGCCCACACAGAACGGACTTTTGCAGAAGATAGTCAGTTTCTCAGGCTCCGTGATATTGAAGCGGAGGTGAATAGTGGGGCAGACATGCTGAAGGTGAGAATAAAATTTCAGGCGAGTGACTGTGTTGAGCAGTGTTTTCCAAACCTGGCTGGGCAGGCATCAGAATCACCTGGCGAGTGTGTGCATGTGTGCGTACGCAGGTTTTTAAATATCTTTAGCAGATCTGGGATGGGCTGGGGGAATATGTATTTCTAATTATCTCCCCAAATAATTTTGATGTAACCAGTTAGTGTGGGAAACACTGTCACTTAGAAACTTTATTTTCCAGCTTATGGTGAAGTATGCCGTAAACATTCTTCCTAAAGTTTTCTTTTTGGATTTTCTCAAAACCCTAAGTTCCACAAGAAGAAAAAGTAGGGTCCAGCCAGAAGAAAAAGACCATGTCACTCTTCCTTGAACTGACTTTTCTGTCCGATCTTGTCAGTCCTTTGTGGCTGGTTGCCTGGACATTTGGCCTCTCAGTAGTTTGGAGTCCTTCTTCCCCTGTGAAAAGCTAGGCATGACCATCAACTGAAGAATGGCAGGAAAAACACTCCTGCTGAGTGGGCATCCATGGCTCACGGAGCCCCTGGTCCCAATGACTAGGATTTCCATCAATGCTGTCATCTGACTGTAATGACTGAGTGGTGGGCCCAGATGAGGAGGCAGGACCTCCTCATCCTGAGGGCACACCTAAAGTACTGTCAACCCACCTAAGGCAGGTGTGAGCTTAGGGGGGAGCTCCCTTGTACCTGACCAGTAATTAGTGCCCTTCAACCAAGAGGATATACATATATATATATATTAGAGGCCCCTTGCAGGAAGATTTTTGCAATAGGGCTTCCTGCTGCGGTCTCCACTGCCCTGCCTGCTTCCCTTCCTTCTCCGAAGCCCGGCTTCCTTGCTTCTCTGTAGCGCTGTCTTCAGTGTTTGCTCTGGCCTGGATATGCAAATTAACAACCATCTTTGTTGGGTTAATTTGCATGCTCACCCTGATTGGCTGGTGGGCGTGGCTTGTGGTGTGGTGAAGGATGGTCAATTTGCATGTTTCTCTTATATATTATATATATTGATTTCTGAGAGGATGGAGAGGGGAGAGAGATAAAAACATCAGTGATGAGAGTGACTCATTGATAGGCTGCCTCCCGCATGCTCCCTACTGGCAACCCCAGCATGTGCCCTTGACCAGAATTGAACCCAGGACCCTTCAGTCCACAGGCCAATGCTCTATCCACTGAGCCAAACCAGCCAGGGCCAAGAGGATGTTAATGCTCTGAAAGCAACGATCTCCCCCTGCCTTGTCCTGTCCTGGACCCCAAGTGCCTTGAACAGTGCCTGGCGCCTGGTGGGTGCTCACTAAAGAGACGCCTAATGCCTCCTTTTCTTCCCAGCTCTGCTCTAGGTAGGCAGCGCCATGCAGTTCTCCAGCTCAGCCAGGGCAGCAGATGAGAACTTCGACTATTTGTTCAAGATCATCCTCATCGGGGACTCCAACGTGGGGAAGACCTGTGTGGTGCAGCATTTCAAATCCGGGGTCTACGCGGAGACGCAGCAGAACACGATTGGGGTGGACTTCACTGTGCGCACCCTGGACATCGACGGCAGGAAAGTGAAGGTCAGAGGGCCTGGGGTTCGCTCCTCCTCGTTTAGCCAGAGCTCCTAACCCCGAAACACGAGCCTGAGGAATAAAAGATTTAAATGTAAAACATGAAATCATGCTGTATCCGGTTTGGCTCAATCGATAGAGCTTCAGCCTGCGGACTGAAAGGTCCCGGGTTCCATTCCGGTCAAGCGCATGTATCTTGGTTGCAGGTACATTCCCGGTGGGGGGGGGGGGTGCAGGAGGCAGCTGGTCGATGTTTCTCTCTCATCGATGTTTCTGGTTCTCTGTCCCTCTCTCTTCCTCTCTGTAAAAAAATCAATAAAATATATTTTTTTAAAAAACACATGAAATCATAAAAGTATCAGGAAAAAACATAAGTGTATTCCTTTTTATCATTGTGCAATGAGGAAATTGGGCTTTTCAGTAAGAATAGAAACCCAGGATGTCTGTAATAGTGTCAACAATAAAAATAAGTAAATAATGTGAAAGAGACAAGAAGCCCTGAAGCTATAAGGGTAAATATTGCTTAATCTAACTATCTCAAGGTCAAATGTACATATCTCTATGTAACCATATAAATGTAACATTTCTACATATTCAAAAACACTCTAAAAAAAAAAAACACTCTAAACCAAATCAAAAGATGAATGACACTTGGAAAAAAATATTTGCATATATGGGACTTGACAAATGGCTAATTGCTTTAACATGAAAAGAGCCCTGAGAAAAAAAACTAACCAACCAAGCACACACACAAAAGTAGGCTATTCAAAGACTGAACAAAACTGTTGTTTCACAGATTTTATAAGAACGAGCTCATACATTTGTATAAAGGTGTCCATCCATGTTCATAATTAACCAATAAGCTAATAGTAAAATACTGCCTTTTACCCATTTGATTAGAAAAGATAAAAAAAATATGGGCAAAAATGTAATAAATGGATCTTGTTTGGGATCCTTATTAAATAAAAACAATAGTAAAAATACATTTTGGAGACAATCAGGAAAATCTTCGTATGGACTGGGCATTAAATAAAACCAAGGAGTTATCAGAAAGTGTATTAGTGATAATGGCGTTGTGGGTATGAAAGAAAATGTCCGTTTTTATAAGGATGTATGTCAATGTAAGCAGGGATGAAATGACATGAAGTCTGGGGTTTGCTTTAAAATAAGACCTCACATTGCCAAAACCGGTTTGGCTCAGCGATAGAGCATCAGTCTGCGGACTGAAAGGTCCCAGGTTTGATTCCGGTCAAGGGCATGTACGTTGGTTGCCTCTTGCACACACACACACACACACACACACACACACACACCCCGGTAGGGGGGGTGCAAGAGGCAGCTGGTCAATGTTTCTCTCTCATTGATGTGTCTAGCTCTCTATCTCTCTCCCTTCCTCTCTGTAAAAAATCAATAAAATATACAAAAAGAAAACAAAAAAACAAATAAAAATGCGTTTACTCTTTAAAAATAAAATAAAATAAGATAAAATAAAATAAGACCTCACTGGCTTAAAGTAAATTCCCAGGAGTTCTTCCTGGGCTTTGAATTTGCAGTAACAGGTGTGAACATTCTAGAAACAGTTGGATGATCATGGATGATGCTGCAGACAAGAAAAATAAATAAAATAACACCTCAAAGAGCCCTGCTGTGTGCTCAGTGGTTAGAGGGTTCAATTCCGGGTCAAGAGCATGTACCTCAGTTGCAGACTCAATCCCTGGCCCTGATTGGAGCACATATGGAAGTGCGGGAGGCAGCCAGTCAATGTATCTCTCTCACATAGATGTTTCTCTCTCGCTCTGCCTCTCTCTCTCTCTCCCTTCCTCCCTCTTCTTCCCTACCCTCCCTCCTCTTCACTCTTCTAAAAAAAATCAATGAAAAAAATATCCTCAGATGAGGATTTTTTTAAAAATTGAAGAATAAAAACAAAGAAATCAACAGAACAAGCTAGTTGTAGCAACAGTGGCAAAATCTTGATAATTATTTAATAATAATTACTGAATCTGGAATGATAGGTATATGAGGGTTGATTACTCTGTTCTCTCTAATCTTGTATATGTTTGCAAACTTTAAAAAATAAACTTTGTGCTTGGCTGGCATGGCTCAATGGTTAAGCGTCGACCTAGGAACCAGGAGGTCACAGGGCACACACCCAGGTTGCAAGCTCAGTCCCCAGTAGGGTATGTGCAGGAGGCAGCCGAACAATGATTCTCTCTCATCATCATCTCTCTCTTTCTCCCTTCCTCTCTGAAATCAATAACAACTATATGTTAAAAAAAATTAATTTTGTAAATAATGTGAGTATATGAAGAAACAGGTACCCTAGACACTGATAGAAGGTGTATAAATTGGCACCATTGCTCGGGGATGGTGGTTTAGGAGGTAATATTATGAGGATACTCCTGAACATAAACAGTGGAGTGGATCTTTAAAATCAAAACAGTTCAGCCAACATTACTTCCTTTTCCAGTGTTAATAGCAATGGGCAGGTTCAAGAGATAAGCCCCAAAATCTGGAGGAAGGGATGATTGAGATGCAAAGGGGAACGAACACCAGACCCCAGGACATTGATCCCCACTCTCCGACTAACGCATCCCTGAGGTGGGGGCTCCCAAACCTGAGAGCCCATCCAGATTACCCTGGCCCAGCCCAGACCTCCTGAACTTGGCTATCTCCAAGTAAAACCCAGGGAACTGCATTGTGCAGACGACTTAGTGAGCAAGTCCCCATCGGGCGTGGGAGCTCCTGACGCTGTCCGCTTTCCCGCCCGCCCCCAGATGCAGGTGTGGGACACGGCCGGCCAGGAGCGCTTCCGCACCATCACCCAGAGCTACTACCGCAGCGCCCACGCCGCCATCATCGCCTACGACCTCACCCGGCGGTCCACCTTCGAGTCCGTTCCTCACTGGATTCACGAGATTGAAAAATACGGAGCCGCGAACCTGGTCATCATGCTGATCGGTATGGAGTTCTCAAAGGGTTTACTTTTGCTTTATCGCCCCCCCCCCCTTGCTGACAGCCGGCTTTTTGTGTGTTTCCGGTGGCAGGGGAGCATGCAATCATAAAGTGCGAATGGTGAGAGGACCTCAGAAAGCACCCGGCCCAGAAATTCCATCAGATTCACCTGAAAACGAGAGGGGGTGGTGTGAACTTGTTAAGAATGCAGATCCCAAGGCCCCATCCCAGAGTTCCTCATTCTGGAGACCTGGGATGGGGTCCAGACCTCTGTGTTCAGGAGTTCTCAGGCTGACACTATATTCACTTGAGCCAAACCGGGTAGGGCTATTTGGCTTTTTAATTGTCCAAGTGTCTCTCTTGCCTCCCAGCACGATGAAGAATCCCTTTCTTGGGGACAGGACCATGCTTCTCTGGTGTCCACACAGAACACGTAGCAAGCAGACTCAGACTGCAGGAGCAAGCACGTTTCTTTCCCTCCCGCCAATCCCTGTCCCAACCAAGGGACCCTCACACCTTTCTTCATACCAATAGTTCTCCTTTCTAATGCCGCGACCCTTTAATACAGTTCCTCACGTTGTGGTGACCCCCAATCATAAAATTATTTTGGTTACTACTGCATAACTGTAATTTTGCTACTGTTACGGGTCATAATGTAAATATCTGTGTTTTCCGATGGTCTTAGCCAACTCCACAGCAGAACCACTAGCAAGGTCACCTAAGACCATCGGAAAACACAGATATTTACATTACGATTCATAACAGTAGCAAAATTACAGTTATGAAATAGCAACCAAAATAATTGTATGGTTGGGGGTCACCACAACGTGAGGAGCTGTATTAAAGGGTCGCGGCATTAGAAAGGTCGAGAACCACTGTTCTAAAAGCAGGGCTGTGCCCTGAACGTAAACCTCACAAGCGATAAAAACACATACAGTTTTCTTGAAGCTACAAACCTGAGTTAGTTTTCTGAAGTTGCTAATTACCATAAACTGGGTGCCTGAAAACAACAGAAGTGTGTTCTCTGTTCTGGAGGCCAGAAACCGGAAATCGGTATCCTTGGGCTGAAATCACGTGTCAGCAGAACCGTCCTCCCCCCGGAGGCTCTAAGGGAGAATCTGTTCTTTGTCTGGTCCAGTGGCTGTCAGCGTTCTGTGCTCATGGCTGCCTCTGTCTTCCCATCACCTCCTCGGTATGTGTACTCTAGTCTCCCTCTATCTCCTTTGTGTAAGACTATGCATGATTGCACTTGGGCCCACCCCGCTAATCCAGAATTCTCTCCAGGGCTCGAGATTCTTAACTTAATCACATCTGCAAAGACCCTTTTTGCAGATAAAGTAACATTTACAACTCCCAGGGCGTAGGACCATGTCCTTAGGGACCATTTTCCAGCCTCACAGTCCCAGGAAGGGGAAGGGCCCTTGGATTTAACCTTATTTTGGGAGAATTATGATAAAAATCTAGCTCTGTCAATGACCAGGTTGGTGCCTATGATGCTAAGTATTTTTTTTTAATATATTTTATTGATTTTGTACAGAGAGGAAGGGAGAGAGATAGTTAGAAACATCGATGAGAGAGAGTCATCGATCAGCTGCCTCTTGCACACCCCCTACTGGGGATATGCCCGCAACCAAGGTACATGCCCTTGACCGGAATCGAACCCGGGACCCTTCAGTCCCCAAGCCGACGTTCTATCCATTGAGCCAAACCGGTCTCGGCTGATGCTGAGTATTTTTTTTTTTTTTCTCCATCACCATTTACCATTTACCTTCTCTACCTTCTTCCATCCTCCATCCGCCCCCATCCTCCCTCACCATCACCACACTGTTGTCCATGTCCATGAATTCTCTTCTTTTCCTTTTTGCTCAAACCATCCACCCACTGAATACTGCCCTCCCCCCACAACAGAGCAGCCTGCCTACTCTCTAGGAGAAAGCATTTTTTCAATCTTTTTTCATTGGGACATAATGCATAGAGAAAAGTTGGCAAACACTGACATATCACAAAGGGAACACTTGTGTAAATACCACTTGGGTCAAGAAAGAGTGCACCCTGCTCCCCAGCTCCCTTGCTGTCCCTCTCAGTTATTTATCTTCTCCCCTAAAGTAAGCCCATCATGACTTTTATTTTCATTTTCTCCCTTTTAAAAAATATATTCTATCGATTTTCCACAGAGAAGAAGGGAGAGAGACAGAGAGTCAGAAACACCGATGAGAGAGAAACATCTATCAGCTGCCTCCTGCACACCCTCCACTGAGGACCTCCCCGCAACCAAGTCATGTGCCCCTGACCGGAATCGAACCTGGGACCCTTCAGTCCGCAAGCCGATGCTCCATCCACTGAGCCAAACCGGCCTTGGCCCATCATGGCTTTAATGACATCGTTCCATTTTCTTTATCAGCAGCTCTATTTTGCTATTGTTTTTGAACCTTCTACAAATGGCATTGTAACGAGTGTCATTTTGTCTAAGCTTCTTTCCCTCAGCATTACTTTTATTTCCTCCTCTGTTGGTTGATGGGCATTCGAGTTGTTTTCAGTTGGGACAATTAGCAAAATTGCTGCCCTGAAGGTTCTTGTATGTTTATGGATGCGCATGGGCTCATACTTCCCTTGGGTACATACATGGGAGCAGAACTACATGGTCTTGCAACGGTCTCACTCTAGTGGATAATCTCAAATCACTTGCATACACATTCATCAAGACCTACTGAGTGTCAAGTCTATGCATTTTATTGTATGCAAATTACAGCTAGCAAAATAAGTCCTTCCTTATACATTCCACAGCTTCAACCCAAGAAATCCTGACCACAACTTCAGGCTAGACCAGATTCTATCTCAGTGTCCAACACTTTGCGGTTAGGGAGAAAGGGGAATGAGATCTAAAGGGAGAAGAGAGAAGCAAGAGGGAATCGCTCTGGCACCTTCTTATCTTGTCACACGTAGGAGAGATGGCCCCTCCCAAGAATATGAAGGCTCCACCTGTCCGGGCCAATAACATACATACCTCTGGTCCAGTCCTACAGCTCTTAAAGATCTTAAAAACAGTGAATTCAGATAGTGGCTGTGTTTCCATTCATATGTGGTTTCATTTTCATTAAATTTGGCCTCATTTACTGTTTGGGAAGAAGTGCATGCATGCATATTGCTGAACGATGTTCTTTCTAAAGTTCATTTTTAAAAAATCAGATTAAGTTACTCAATGCAATCTGCTTCTCTCTCACTCCCAGGGAACAAATGTGACCTGTGGGAGAAACGGCACGTTCTGTTCGAGGACGCCTGCACGCTGGCTGAGAAATACGGCCTCCTTGCAGTTTTGGAGACATCAGCTAAGGAGTCCAAGAACATAGACGAAGTCTTTGTGCTCATGGCCAGGGAGCTGATCGCCCGCAACAGCCTGCAGCTGTACGGGGACAGCGCCCTGAGCCACCTGCCCCTGGACTCCAGTCCAGTCCTCATGGCCCAGGTGCCAAATGACAAGACCCACTGCACCTGCTGAGTGTGTTCACCAGGCCAATAGCACCCACCAGAGGCCATCGCTAAGCCAAAAGTGGCCGGGTCCTCTAGCGTCTGCCGACTAGCATTTCAGACCCAAGTGTAGACTTGCCACAACTGAATCCATCCTGGGTTTAGACCAGAGGCCGCAACAGCTGACTCTGAGGCCAGAGGACACCACTGTCCTTTCTGCTCTTGCCTTGGACCTAAAGGCACAAGATTAGAAGGACATGGTCTGCTCCTTTTCATCTTTTTTTTCTGTCTCCCCAACCCTTTAACTATGTTTCCACTGAATTTTGCTTCTCACTTGAAGAGGGTAGTGAGGAAAGATCAAAGAGGGGCGAGGACACTCCGGAACAGTTTAAAACAGCTCGGTCCTGGGAAGATGAGAAAAAGCCTGCAGTGATAAACCAGAATGCTGTTAACATTTGCTTCCTGGCAGTCACACCTCAGGGTTTTAGTTTGGGGAGCAAAGCCTTTTGATATAAAGACCATAAATACCTCTTGCCAAATGGTCAGGAGCCATGTGAGGGAGATAGAACTGGGTTTCACTTCATTCTAGTTTGGGCTCATGTGGGAGATGTCTACAATTCCTTCCCAAAACACCACACTGGCTGCTGGATCAGAAGGCATTTCTGTATAGAAATTAATTTGGCTCACAGATGAATAGCAAACCAATATTGACCTCACAGTACGGCCTGAGCATACAACATATGGTGGTTTTTCAAAGTTCCCCCGATGGTTGTTGCTGAGCTGTGTCTTGCGGTCACAGTGAGAACCACAAAGGCCTGTCCACCACCACATCAGCTCCAAAAAGGGAAATGTCACTGGGAGCTCTTCCCAGGCCCAGGGGAGTGCCCACAGGCATTTCTTGTCGATAGCGGCACCATCGATAGGCGGAGGCCTACCTTCACGTGTGGCTACTGAGTGCTTGGAGAGAGGTTGAGCAGGACATGCCATTTAGTGGCTCACACCAATTTCCCTTCATTCCCTTGCACATCAATCACAACCAGCACTCTGAAAACCTCATCGGCGTCTAGGGTTATGCACTCAGGATTGCCTGGAATTGAAATGTTCCTACCAACAGGTTAGACATGAGAGAACAAGGCCCTGCACAGGAAACTGTGATTAACCACCTGAGCTTCTGTCGAAATGATGGGGCTGTGCCAGGAACCCCCGAGGACCCAGAAAGGCCCCGTATGGAGCAGCCTCCCTGGATTCGGGTGCCCAAAGAGGCAAGGCTTTTCTGAAGCTGAGCATTCTGGTTACCTGGGCTGGGAAGCCAGCTCAGAGAGGCTCCTCTCTGTAGCTATGGTCTCAGAACGCTACGCGTTAGCTCAATTCTGGCATTTTTTCTCACACTCCCAAAGCTGTATTAAGTTATGTGAAATTAAGTTACAAAAGAGATATTTCAGAAGAATAAAAAGATTGTAAATGTCTCCGTATTTTGTTCACCAGTGTCAAGTACATTTCCATGTGTGCAAAAATCTGTTAATATTTCATTATTCCCATGATCTGGGACACCCTTAAGGCAAACCAGCCAGCCCTCACCAGTGCACTAGGCCTCTATCCTATATAATAAAAGAGTAATATGTAAATTGACCACCACTCCATCACACAAGATGGCTGCCTCCATGTGGACACAAGATGGCCACCACAAGATGGCCAGCAGGGGAGGGCAGTTGAGAGGGACCAGGCTGGCAGAAGAGGGAAGTTGGGAGTGACCGAGCCTGCAGGGAAGGGCAGTTGAGGGTGACCAGGTCTGCAGGGGAGGGCAGTTAGGGGTGATCAGGCCTGCAAGGGAGGGCAGTTAAGGGCAATTGCACTGGCAGGGGAGCAGTTAGGCGTTGATCAGGCTGGAAGGGGAGTGGTTAGGGGGCAATCAGGAAGGCAGGCAGGCGAGCAGTTGGGAGACAGCAGTCCTGGATTGTGAGAGGGATGTCCGACTGCCTGTTTAGGCTTAAACGGGCAGTTGGACATCCATTGAGGAATCTCAGATTGGAGAAGGTGAAGGCTGGGCTTAGGGACAAACCCCCACCCCATGCACGAATCTCGTGCACCAGGCCTCTAGTGATATTAATAAAGGCAAACAAAGCAATTACTACATGTCCAGCACTGGACTATACACTTTATTATTAACTCAATGAATCTTGTCAACTATAGTGGGAGGTGGTAATATTAGGCTAGTCCTATCTAATAGGGAGCAGGGTCTGAAATATGCCAGACCCAGCCTGAGTTCACTTCTTTTTAACATGGATGTGGAGTCGCCAGTTCACTCATGTGCACGATTACATGGGTGACTTGAGGCAAACCAGGCTGGGTTCTATCAGCCACGCCAGCAAAGGGCTTAGAAGGATGGAGAGTTTCAGAGGATTCATATCAAACGCATAATAGTGCCTACTTTGATTTTTCATTTTCAATATGTCATCTAGCCCTCACCAGTTTGGCTCAGTGGATAGAGCTGATGCCTGCAGACTGAAGGGTCCCAGGTATGATTCCAGTCAAGGGCATGTACCTTGGTTACAGGCACATCGCCAGTAGGGAATGTGCAAGAGGCAGCTGATCAATGTTTCTCTCTCATTGATGTTTCTAACTCTCTATCCTTCTCCCTTCATTTCTGTAAAAAAAAAAAAAAAAATCAATAAAATATATATATTTTTAAAATGACTGATATATTAATCTTTTTAATATATTTTATTTTGTACAGAGAGGGAGAGAGATAGAAAGAAACATCGATGAGAGTCATCGATCAGCTGCCTCTTGCACACCCCCTACTGGGGATATGCCTGCAACCAAGGTACATGCCCTTGACCGGAATCGAACCCGGGACCCTTCAGTCCCCAAGCCGACGCTCTATCCATTGAGCCAAACTGGTCTTGGCTGATTAATCTTATTCTATTATCTCCCTGTATACCACATTAAGAGTAAAAACACTTTCAGAATGATTGACTAATTTCCCTTGTGATGAAGTATTTACAACTTTTAACATCACATGCTCTTCACTCGAGAGAAAGCAACATATAACTGACCATGTCCAAAAACAGATTTAGGTAGGAATATTCCTGTCTAGTTTGTCCTTGTGATTTATTAATAGTCATAGCAAATGCTGGCACCACAGGAAACTGTCTTCTAATTTATATGGGAGGCAGATGGGGACAAATATCGGGCATGTGTGTCATTTATTTTTAAATTGCCACTGGGCGTCATGTGTACCGGCTGGTCAGTCAGACTAACAGGACTGTCGGTCACTTAGCCTTTTATATATATAGGTTTTTCTCACTTATTTGGAATAAAGACTATTTACTCATAATGTGTTCATTTTTGTTTTATTTTACTTTAATTTATTGGGGTGACATTGGTTAATAATATTGCCAGTATACAGGTTTCAGGTGTACAATTCTATAATACATCACCTGTATAATGTATTATGTGTCACCACCCAAAGTCAACGTGTTAAAAGTTGATTGAAAATAGTAGCCTGCAACCTTCTCATCTATTTAGAAACAAAATCCTAATTTCAAGAAAAATTTTATTAATTTGGAAAAACTCCAAAAGTTTTTTTAAGCACAGAATCTAGGCATTCGCTATATCAGAGCATTTCTGTTTGTGTTGTGGTTGCCTTTCTCTATTTTATTGTCTGTTTATTCCCAAACCCAAACATGGGTTATTTAAAAATCTAGCAATACTCTAAAATAAATAAAAACTTAGGCAATGGCCCCATTGTGGTAAATACAAAGAACTGCACTTTTTGCATTTACCACAATTTAAAAAATTTAAGTGGATGGATTATAGACTATGTGCATTATCTTGCTAAAGCTATTAAAAGTGTTTTTAAAGGGAAAAATGCATTTTAATATTATAATATCCTTATTATCAGCCAGAAGTGTTTCTTTTTAACCGTTACCATTACATGCCATGTAAAAACACTGACACTATTTTTGAACCTCTAAGGAAGTTACTAAGATTACCATTCCTGGCACAGTGTCTGGAAGGCACTCAAATACTTTAAAAACAGATGGTTACTTTCATCTTATTAAAAATGTTATTCGGCCCTGGATAGGGTGGCCCAGTTGGTTGGGCATCGTTCTGAACACAAAAAGGTTGCCAGTTCAATTCCCAGTCAGCACTCATGCCCAGCTTGCTGGGGCTCATCCCCGGGTAGGGAGTGCACAGAAGGCTGCGGTTCCATTTTGCTCTCACATACATGTTTCTCTCTCTGCCTCTCTCCCCTCCCCCTCCTTCCTTCCTCTCTCCTAAAACCAATTTAAAAGTGGGTTGTTGTTTTTTTAATGTTAATAGTTTTAATACAAGGCAAGAGCAAGGGAAGAGTGAGTGAGTGCATCTGCATTTACATAAAAGAAAAACAAGCCCCCTTTAAGAGGGCAAATTTGCCCTCGTCAGCTTGGCCCAGTGGATAGAGGGTCCGGGTGTGATCCCAGTTCAGGGCACACACCTTGGCGGCAGGTTCCTCCCGGGCATGGGCCCTGGTCAGGGCTCGTGCAGGAGGCAACCATCAATGTTTCTCACATCGGTGTCAGTCTTTCTTTTTCTTTTTTATAATGTATTTTTATTGATTTCAGAGAGGGAGAGGGAGACATAGAAACATCAATGATGAGAGAATCATTGATCAGCTGCCTCCTGCACATCCCCTACTGGGGATCGAGCCCACAACCCAGGCATATGCCTTTGACTGGAATCAAACCCAAAACCCTTCAGTCCCCAGACTGATGCTCTAGCCACTGAGCCAAGCTGACTAGGGCAATGTCTCCATCTTTCCCTTTCTTCCACTAAAAAAATCGATGAAAAATACCCTCAGGTGAGGATTAACAACAAAAATAAATAAATAAATGTGAGAGGAGGGGAGAAACAAATTTATCATCAGAACTGGGTTTTCCTTTAAACAAATCTTTGTCTTACTAATTCAGTTTTGCATTTTAGATTATTTCCCCAGTTAACAAAGACAGGAGTTGATACAGCCTTTACGAAGTCAATTTCTAAGTATTTACTAGGGGAATAAGCTTCTGATTAAAAGAAAGCTAAGTACATCAGTTGAACATGAAAATATTTATTTGTTCAGGTACTGAATGGTATATATCTCTTCTATGCACTGCAAGGGAGCAGCAATAGAGACCTGGTAAGATCTTGGGTATTTTCTATTATCAGTATGAGATCTCTTCCTGTCACGCAATACAAAGAAATAAGCACCTTGTCAAAATCCAAAATGGAAGGCTGTTTAAATGTTTGTGAAGTCAGTCAGTCCTAGACACTGTGGAAGTAATAATGCAGCCACTTCTGGAGACAGTAACAATGTGTTAGTCACTTCAGATATAAATTACAAAGGATTGACTGTTTAATAAAATTTTTTTAAATTCTTTTCCCACTTCGAGGTAAATCC